AAACAGTGAAAATATTACCGATGGAGAATATCATTATGCTGAAGAAATTTGGAAGTATTTCAACATAAAAAATATGCAAGAATTTAATATGTTATACAACACTATAGATGTACTTTTATTAGCTGATGTTATGGAATATTTTAGAGAGACTTCGTTAAATACATATGGATTAGATCCAGCTTGGTATTATACTACACCCGGATTTGCTTGGAGTTGTATGTTAAAAACTACAAAACAAAAAATTGAATTAATTTCTGATGTAGATATGCTTTTAATGTTTGAAAGGGCTAAACGGGGTGGTTTATCCCAGTGTTCAAATAGATATAGTGAAGCAAATAATAAATATATGGGTAAAAAATTTGATAAAAATAAAGATTCAGTATATATACAGTATTTAGACGCAAATAACTTATATGGGTATGCTATGTCAAAATATTTACCAAAACGTGGTTTTAAATGGGAAAATCCAAATTTTTTTGATGAGGATAGGATTTTAGAAATGAAGGAAAAACAGGGAACAGGTTACCTTTTTGAAGTAGATTTAATTTATCCAGAAGAACTTCATAAGAAACATAATGATCTACCATATTGTCCAGAAAACATATTTGATGGTGAAAAGTTACCAAAATTATTAACTACACTATATGATAAAAAGAATTATGTTTGTTATTATTTAAATTTACAGCAAGCTTTGAAGGCGGGTTTAAAATTAGGAAAAATTCATAAAGTTATTAGTTTTTATCAGTCTGATTGGATGCGAGTATATATTGAAAAAAATACAAATTTAAGAAAGAAAGCAAAAAATAATTTTGAGAAAGAGTTTTATAAATTAATGAATAATTCTGTTTTTGGAAGAACAATGATGAATGTAAGAAAACATGTGGATATAAGATTAATATCTGAAGGTGATAAATATACAAAATATGTTTCTAAACCTAATTTTAAAAAATCTACATTTTTCGGTAAAAATTTGTCTGCTGTTGAAATGAATAGAACAGAGATTAATTTTAACCAACCTATCTTTATAGGTGTATGTATTTTGGAGATTTCAAAGATTTTAATGTATGATTATTTTTATAAACTGAAAGAAAGATATGGAGATAACATTAAATTATTATATGGTGATACTGATTCATTAGTATGTGAAATTAAAACATTAGATTTATATGAAGATATGAAAGCAAATATTGATGAATATGATACATCTGATTATGAAAAACATAATGTTTATGGTATACCTCAGATTAATAATAAAGTAATGGGAAAGTTTAAAGATGAAATGAATGGAAAAATTATTGAAAGTTTTATTGGACTTGCTTCAAAGTCTTATTCAATTAAATAAAGGTATTAGGAAAGCTAAAGGAGTAAAGAAAAATATAGTTAAGAATAATATAACTCATGATGATTATAAATAATGTTTAGAAAATAATATATGTAAAAATGTAGAACAGATAATGATACGTAGTGAAAAACATGAGATTAGTACTATAAAGCAGACTAAAGTAGGATTAAACTGGTTTGATGACAAAAGACATTTAATTGATGGAAAAACAGATACATTGGCATGGGGTCATAAGAATATCGGAATAGATAGACCAGATTTTATTAACCACTTAAGAACTATTAATAAGACTAAATGTTTATAATAACACGTGCGAAAAAAACGCACGCGTTATTATTATTACATCTGTTCAAATTTAATTTCATTATTAAAAATTCTAAAAAATGAAATTTTTCCGTGCATGATTTTATTATCATTTTTATTATTACATTTTTTATTTTTTCTGTTCAAATTTAATTTCATTATTAAAAATTCTAAAAATGAAATTTTTCTAATCTAAAATCATGGCCGGAAAATCCGGCCATGATTTTATTTTCATTTTATTATTACATTTTTTATTTTTATAATCAATTAGTTCAAATTTAATATCATTATTTTTTAAAAATTCTATAAATTTATGTAATTCATGTCTATTTTTGACGTTCACCCTGTTCGGGTGAGCGTCAGGTTCTTTGTAAAATCCCATAAATTCCAATAAATTCTCAGTTATTAAAATTTCTTTTTATAAAATGTTTATAATAATTTCTAATTCTGAACCGGTCGAATAATTCGACCGTGTCAGAATTGTCAATAAATATATAAATATGTAAATATAAATATTTACAAACGTGTCCCTTTTTGGGGGACGCGTTAGATATAGAATTTATCTATGTTTTTAGAAGTAAATATGTAATAAAATCATTACATATTATTTTAGTGCCATCTTGATCTGGGAGAGATACTTCAATACGATTAAAATCTGTTATATTCATATTTAGAGGAATAAATTTAATATCATTAGCTATATATTGGCCACTTTTATCACATTTAATAACACATAAAATATCACCGTTTGAGTGCAAATATTCCTTAGTTTTATGGTTAGAAATGGATTTTTCAATTATATTACAATGTACTTCAGTAAACTTATCTTCAAAATAATTACTGGGTATAATATCTGAACCAAAATGTTTGTGTTTATACTTTTTACCAAGTCCTAGGCTTGATATTAAATTTTCATCCAATAAATAATAATCACTAGATTTAATTGTAATATAGTTATTTGTTTGTTCTATTTTTACACTTGATGGTAGTATTTAATTTAATTGATCAATAGTGTAATTTCTCTTTTCTATTAAAGTTGAGCCTTTTAATGTTATAATATCACCATTTACATTTTTTAGGAAACCTTGTGTGTAAAATTTAGGTATTAACGTACCTGTTATACTATATTTAAATGGCTGTTCAATTTTATAATTTGTAGAATTATTAAATACTGGAATTCCTAAACAATCAGTTAAGTGAGAGTCAAAAACATACTCATAGTAAGTTGAAATCATTAAATATTTATTATTATTTATTGTAATTTTAGTATTAACAACGTTCTTGTCTAGATTTAATAAATTTTGAATTTCATTGATAGAATATACCTACACCAATAGGTATCTTATGAGACTCTTTTTCGACTTTATATTCACATTCATATTGTGAATATTTATGTAATATTCATCACTAGTAGGATAATAAATTATTCTTTTCACACTTGTCATTAAAAAATAATATATATCATTAAAACCTAGGTATTTTTTGAAATTTTCATCTAGTTTATAGTACAATGGAGATTCTATTTTATTTTTTTTTTCAATAATAGAGATAACTAATGGCTTTATTAATTTATTTAACTTTTCAACAGTATAAAGCCCACTTATAATATTAATTATATCAATGCCAATTGTTATCTCACAGTATTTTTTTATTTTAATTAAATCATTAGAATTGGCAACTGACAAAGCATACAATCCAATAGACATACTTTGGTTTTCATTATGTATATAATGTTCAAAACGTATACACCCATTTATGATTTTGATTAACTTCATTTAATAGTAAAAAAAATGTTATTACTGAAATTCTATTAAATAGATTGATTTCCCATTATAAAAATTTTTTTTACCTTTGTACATCATATACATTTCACCATCATATTTGTCTATATCTTCCTCAGAAATACCATTAACAAAACTATAGGGCAAAAATAGCATATATCTATTGTCTAATAGAACAGAAACTCTTTCACCATATTTTGTAGTTATTTTTTTAAATGTTGATATTTTATAAGGTTCATTAATATTTAGATCAGATAATTGTATATGTTTGTATTTGTAATCTTCTTCATTTAACTTATTTAATACTTTAATTACAGTACTGTCTAGAGAATTACCTTGGAACTCTATACGATAGTATAATTTTCCATTTTCAAGTGTTTTTATATATTTATGAAAAATATAGATTGTAGACCACTCCTTGTCATTTAATTCATATATATTTTCAGAAACAATTTTCAGGAATCTATCTGGTAATAAGAGTTCATATTCATTATCCAACACAACAGACACTCTATTCTGCCCATTAATGTTAATGATTTCAAAAGCAGTAACTTCATATTTTTTATCAATTGCCAATTCTGATAATTTAATATATTTATATTTGTGTCCATGCTTATTTAATCTTATTTTTAAATCTATTGAGTCAATAGAATTGGACATTTTAAATTCAGACATTTTTATTTTTATATATTTAATAAGAAAAAATTTAATAGAAATTTTATTTTTTTAGACTTGTATTATTTATTTATATTAAATTAATAATAATTATGAAATAAAAGTATTTAATTTAGTTAAAGATAATGATATACCAAATTCACTTTTTCCAAGGCCTATGCGTTGTTTGATTATAGGTTCTTCTGGATCAGGAAAAACTAATTTATTATTTAATATTATTGTTAATTATTGGGTTCCTTTTGATAATCTTTATATTTTTACAAAAAATATAGATCAGCCAATTTATGAAGGTATGAAAGAAATATTGGCAAATTTGAAAAATGAGATATATAAAGAGGTATATATAACCAATGAAGAGATAATACCTGTTGATGATTGTAAACCAAATAGTTTAGTTGTTTTTGATGATGATATTTTAGAAAAACAGGAAAGAATGAAAGATTATTTTGTAAGATCAAGATCAAAAAATATTTCATGTATTTATATTGGCCAGAATTATACCTTATTAGAGGCAAGATCAATTAGACAAAATTGTAATTTTTTAGTTTTATTTGAGGAGTCAGATTTTTATATTAGAAAAATATGGAAAGATAAGTTAAGTAATTTTTTAACTTTTGATAAATTTAAATCTTTATGTTCAATTTGTTGGAAAATTAAGTTTGGATTTATATCAATTAATTTAATAGATAAACAAATTTATAATAAATTCAACAAGATAAACTTAAACGCATAACGTAAACGCATAACGTAAACGTATAACGTAAACGCATAACGTAAACGCATAACGTATTCGCAAGACCTGCTTGCAAAAAGCAAGCAATCAACGCATAACGTAAACGCATAACGTAAAATATGAATTTGTTTATTAAAATTTTTTATATTAAATGGATATGAAGGTAATGAGAAATATTTTTTTAAAAGGATCTACAACATCGCAACAAACCAAAAAAAAAGATAGAAAAAGAGGTGGATCTGTAATGTCAGTTAGAGAAGCAGATGAAATACTTAAACTTGAGGATAGTCTGAAGAAGAAGTTAAAAAATGCAAATTTAAGAAACATATATATTGAAGAGGAAAAAGAGAAATCATTTGGCCCTGTAACGAATGAGTTAAAGAATATTGTAAATGCTGTTAATGAAGTTAAAGAAATAAATATTAAAACTGATGAAGATATTCACAAAATGCTAGTACCCTTAAGGCGCCCTGAAATGTTAAGGTTGCCAGATCCAATTAAACCAACTTTAGGTCCGCAGTTAACGGACACACCTAAACGACCTCCAATGAGTGAAACACCAAAATCTCCTATGCCTAGGGATGCAATAATACTGGGTTAAAACGCAAAGAAATATTTATCTGATTTAGACAAAAATAATCAGTTTGGAATATATTAAAATTTATAAAATTTGTAGAAGGATCAGGTCTTATGAATAATCTTTTAAATAGTAAATTTATGCCAGAAATGCATTGGCCTGGTTATAATTATCTTGGCCCCTTTACTGATTTAGAAAAAAATAAAAAACCAGTAAATGAACTAGATAAGGCAGCAATGGAACATGATTATTTTTATAAAGAACATAAAGATATTGAAACAAGACATATTGGAGATAAAATTTTGGAAGATAAAGCAATGAAGAGGTATTTAGCCTCAGATGCATCTATAGGTGAAAAAACAGCTGCCCTTGTCACCGCAAATGCAATGAGAGCAAAAAGGTATTTTGGTATGAATTTAAATTGATTTATTGAATTTTATTTCTATTAAATGAATTTAGATTTGAGTGATTCTCAAATAAAAAAGCTTGTAAAAGCTTATAAAAACAAAATTGATGTAGGTATTCAATTAACGCATATACAGATTGGTAATGGAAAAAACAAATTTAATTTAACTGATAGACAAAATAATAAGTTAACTAAAGCTAAGAAAGACAAAAAAGGTGTGAGATTAAAATTTACAAAATCTCAATTTGGAAATAAAGATAAAGTAGGTGGTTTTTTACCTCTTATTATAGCAGGTATAGGTGCCCTTAGTGCTATTGCAAATACTGTTATTGATGCAAAAGATAAGAAATTAAAACGAGATGAGACAGAAAGACATGATAGAATGATGGAAGAAAATGTTAGAAATATTAAAACTTTACAGATTGGTTCAGGGGTTAAAAAAAGCAAAAAAAAGAAATAAAACCATTAACTAATTTTGATATTATTAAAGCAGGAAAAAATATTAAGAATTTTAGAGGTTGTTTTATGAAAGATAAGTTACCAGCAGAGCCTTGGAAAAATGAATGTGGAATATTAAATTTAAATAATTCTAATCAGCCTGGTTCACATTGGGTTGCATGGTTAAAAAATGGTAATAAAAAAATATATTTTGACTCTTATGGTCGTTCACCTCCAGTTAAAGCAATTGTAAATTGTTTAGGAAAAGATGATTTATATTACACTACTGATCAACTACAAACTTATACAGACCCACCCATATGCGGTCATTTGTGTTTAGATTTTATTAAGAATTATGACTTAAATTATGAATTAAGTTTAAAACTGAGAAAATTGTAAATTAAATTTGTATATAAATAAATATATAAAATGAATCGAAATTATAATATTGGCTATCTTTATGAGGATGCGTTATTACAGTCGTTGAAAGCAGGTTATGTATATTAATGTTTAAATTGTAAAAATTACAAGAGTATGACTGAATTTAGTAAAAACCAAAAATGTTGTAGAAGTTGTAATATTGAAAAGGTAGTATGTGAATGTGGTAAAATAATTCATTTAAAATTCTATAAGAAACATTTATTAAGTAAATTTCATTTAGGTTTGTATGATATGAGTAAAGAAAACATTCCTCAAGAACTATTTTACTAATATTTTATTACATTTTTTTCCTTATAAATGGAGAATATATTTGCAAAATATGACCGTACTATTATTCGTGAACAGGATAAAGTATTTTACCCTATATCAACATCAAATCTGAATGCACCTAATCAGATTACTAATTTTAACATAAATGAAGAAAATAGTTTTTTAAGAGTAAGTAAGCCAAAATTTCGAATTTCTGGTCAAGTTTTACAGGCTGATGGTACTAGCTATCCTAAAGGCTCAAATGTAATGTTAGTTGACAATTTTCCTGGATTTTTGTTTGGGTCAATTTCTGTTAAAAAACATGGTAAAGAATTAGATAGAATTGATAATGTTGGTAGATGTGGTTTGATTAAAGGTACAGTTAGTTATTCTGCAAACGAGAGTGGACCAACAATAAATAATGGATTTCAATCAAGATTTAGTGGTGGTGGTTTTGTTTAGTGTTACTGGTAAATTGTCTAATTTGTGTTTAGGATTTTTTAAAGATATTGTATATCCAGTATATAGAGGAGGTTTTGAAATAAGTTTTTTAAGACGTAGTGACGATGATGCTTTATTTAGAGGTAAGAATGATAAAACAGATGTGGTGCCTGGAGCTGGAAAAATTGTTATTGAAAAATTACTTATTAGGATACCAATTGTGACTTATAGTGATATGAATAGAGTTAAATTGGTAAATGAATTAGTTTCATTGTCAGAGAGAAACGAGTATATTTTTAGTTTCAAATCATGGCAGTGCATTGAAGAAAGTAATATTACTGGTAAAACACTACAAAAAGATATAACAAATATGTACAGAAATGTCCATAATCCTTTATTTGCTATCATAGCTTTTCAAACAGGTAGGTTAAATAACCAATTGACAGACCCAGTAGAATTTAGTAATTGTAATTTGAAAAATATTTGGTTGGGTGTTGATAGTATGAGATATCCAGAAGAATTATTAAACTTAGATTTTAAAAAAGAAGAATTTGATACTGCTTATGATATGTTAATGGATTATAAGAATGTTTATAATAGAGTACACAGAGACTTATCTTTAATGTATATAACTCCAACACAGTTTAAGGATACCAGACCATACTTTGTAATTGATATGAGTAGACAACCATCACAAATTTCTGGATCTAAAACAAGTATTGTCTTACATGCAGATTTTAATGAAGATGTGCCCGCTAATACCATTTGTTATATTTGTTTAGTTTCTGGTACCGAATTTTTCTATGATCTTACTAATAATACAATTAGAGAAAATATATAAAATATATACATCTTAAATAAATGGACTATTGCAAAAATTGTAAATCTAAAACTAGGAGTATAGGTATTCCTGAATTTATTAAAAAAAATAATAAATATAGGAGGTTATCAGTATGTAAAATATGTAATACAAATAAGAATAATATATCAAAACCACCAGAACTTATAGAAGCTTATGAATTATTTAAACCAGCTAGAAAACATTTTGAAACAAGACATTTTATACAAAGAGGTATAAATGATACTTGGCAAGCTGATTTATACTGTTTTTATAGACCGAAATCTAAAGATAGTGATCCCAATTATAATTTAAGAAATAAATATAATGAAATTAAAGTTAATGATAAACATAAGACATTGTATAAAGCTAATAATGGTTTTAAATATATTCTTAATGTTATTGATACATTTTCTAAAAAAGTTTATTCTGTAGCTTTGAAAACAAAAAGTGGATTGGAAGTATCTGAAGCATTTGCACAAATATTTAAACATAGTGTACCAAAAAAATTACATGTAGATAAAGGTAAAGAATTTTATAATAAAGATTTAAAACAATTACTAAACAAATATAACATTACAATGTATAGTACAGGCACCGATAAAAAGGCGTCTATGGTTGAACGTTTTAACAGAACATTAGGTGATAAGTTGAAAAAAGTACTTTATTTAAATAATGTATGGATTACTGAATTGCCAAGGATTATTAAGACATATAATAATACATACCATAGAACAATAAAAATGAAACCTGCTGATGTAAGTAAGAAAAACGAGAAAGAACTGCTTTCCACTGTTTATGATTATGATATTTGTAATTCCAAACCGAAATTTGAAGTAAATGATAGAGTAAGATTATCTTCAATAATTGATGTTTATAGAAATAAGTTAAAGACAAATTGGTCAAAGGAAATATTTACAATTGAGAACATTTTTAAATCGAATGTAAATTATTATAATATTTGTGATGTAACAGGCACGTTTTATGAACCGGAAATCTCGTTATCATTGTTATAAACCGAAAAACAGTCGTTTCCCGCCGGATATTGTTATCATGACAGCAACAAGTTCCAATTCCGTTATACCCCCATGGTTATCTCTCTGATAGTGGTGTACCGAGTAATATTTTAACGACGTAATTTATATTTTTAATTTCAATAAATTTTTTCCCTATAAATGAACAAACTATATTGTTTTAAGTGTAAACAAAAAACGGATAATATAAGTCCACTTATAACAAAAACTAATAACAACAGGAAGAGATTGTCTGCAAAATGTAAGCTATGTAGAACATTAAAATCAGGATTTATTAAGTAGATTACTAACAACTAATTGTTATCCATTTCTATGTTTAGCATCAATTCGCTATTATATAGAAAATTAGATAGTTGAAAAAGCTTATGAATGAAAAGCAATGTATTCTAATTTATTTAACTTAATTTATATATAATTGTAGTATAATCTGAAAATAAACACATGAAAAAATATTCTAGTAACCTGAAAAAATTCCAAAATAATAATAATAATCGTATGGAGAAGCTAATTTTTTGCATTTTCTATGTTTAGCATCAATTCGCTATTATATAGAAAATTAGATAGTTGAAAAAGCTTATGAATGAAAAGCAATGTATTCCAATTTATTTAACTTAATTTATATGGAAATGAAATAATAATATTAATATATACCCCGACCAACTTAATTTATATGAAATTTTGCTATAATTTGAAAATAATTTTTGCGAGATTTGTAAGAAATTAACATAATATATAGGTACTCCAGCCACTAGCTAATTTGCCATCCATTTTCTATGTTTAGCATCAATTCACTATTATATAGAAAAATTAGACAGCTTAAAAAGCTTATGAATGAAAAGTAATATATTCTAATTTATTTAACTTAATTTATATGGTATTTTGCTATAATTTGAAAATAATTTTTGCGAGATTTGTAAGAAATTAACGTAATATATTAATAAAATTAATAAATAATAAATAATACTAATGAATAATATTTTTGGCTACTCACCGTTCTTGGATCCAGATGTTGAAGAAAAATAAAACACTGATAGCCAAGTGGTTTCTTTGCTATTTATTTGCAGTATATAAGCACTATATAAGTGTTTCGGTCTTGAGATCCTTTATGCCGAGCTGTAGGTGTTAATGTACTAGTTTACACTTGTCCACGGAATTTTTACATCAATTCAATTATTAA